ATATGTGATAATGCTTCATTAGTCTTGGGAATTAAGTGGGCGAACTTAAAAACTTTTTCTGTGGGCAAATGGGCAGGTCCGTCTGGGTAACGACGAAACCGACGACCACGACCTCAAAGAAACCGGCGTGAAGTGGAGGTGTTATACTTCTGCGTTTCGCCTGGCGAGTGAGGTAGCCGGGGCCCACTTTATTAAACGGTGGATCTGCAACCTTTCGGATTTTTCAAATATCCATGAGCGGCGGTTTTCACTTAACATCAGGTGAACCGTTAGCTCACTTGCCACCTTTTCACATTAAAAATCAATCTCTTGTCGAGTCTATAGTAAGAAATTCTTAGATATTATGACGAATTAAAAATTACACTGTTTCGATTAATCTTCACCGGTAAGTGAGACGTGCCGCGCCGTTAGTTTTACAAACATTTTCGTTAACAAGCATCGAGGCTGTTTTCCGGTCGCTTATAAACATCTTATCATTCAACTGGAATATTTTTATGAATCCATTAGCTCGGAGACGTAAACATCGTTGAAAGTTAGGATCCAATTATTTTGATGCCATATTGAAATGATTTTCAAATATTTCCGAGATGTTATCATTACCTTGCCAAAATTTTTAATGGAAAAAGTGTTAAATTTTTGAGAATATTTATTCAACAAACACTCAATGTTTTAAAAAGCTACTGAGTCATATGCGTCTTTTTATAAACTATCCAAAGCATGAATTTAAAAATACTTTCCATAAATATGAAGGCAATCGACGAAACATAAAAATGTTCATTATTCCTCTTTCCCGAACAAAGGAGTAAAATTAACTGATACGACCACAACGCCTACATTTCTATCACCTAAAAATCCTGTCAAGAAACTCCAATATTTTCCCGCTTAGTCAAGAATTTATAACAAAATTTGTTTAAAACCGTGCTTGAAGAGAGTATTACATTCAAGTACATAATATAAAATAATATGTTATGATATACATGATACATTTTTTAAATGAAAAGTAGTCAAGCGAGTGGCAGACGCGTTGCCGACTTTTAGAGAACTGGGACCAGGCTACCTCTTCATTATGTGAAATGTGAAATGTTAAATTATAACACAACTGAATGGGAGTATTATACCTCTCGGCAGTCTTCTGTGAGGTCTACTTCCCTGGAGGAGCCTGCTCATTCGTGCAACAGCAGAAGCTGCCACGTGGCCCTGCCACAGTTGGACCTGCAATTTAAGCGCTGCGGTAACTTGCATTTGATTTGGAGAAAATGTTTCTCCCCGTACTTCGTAAAACATCATTGAATCCGTGTTGTTTGTAAAATAAACCAGGAGTAATAAAACCAATATACAAATTAGACTGAATAAAATAAGACCCTTTTACATTTCCGATAATCTCATTACTATACCGAACACAAAGCGAAACGAAAACGAAAGAAGATTAATGTTTACAACCTCGTAAATAAAATGTTTTTGTATACGTTTACTAGAATTCAGCCGTCTATAGAAAAATTATATTTTTTCACAACAAACGTTTTGTCAATGAAAATTATATTTTTTTTATTTACACTGAAAATTAATAATTGACTATGTAGATCAACCATCATGTCGACTTAAAATTCAAAAGTTTTATTTCTAAAATAGGCTTGTTATTCTAGAAGCAGTTGAAATGTCTTCATTTACTACAGAAGCATTATACTTACTTATTGATTTTCAAATTACTACTACCTGTAATATTTAAAATTAAATTTAAGGTAATGTAATTAAATTTAAGGCATTTTTTAACGTGAAAAGTTGGCAAGCCAGCAGCAAGTCTGTACACCTGATATTATGTAATTACCGCCGTCCATGTCTACAATTCCTGAGAAGTTACAGGTGCGTTGCCAACTTTAAAAAAAGGGGTTCTAGCTATCTCACTCACCATACGAATCGCGATACGATAGTACTTTTAAATTCATGCCTTTCTTCTGTGAGGCCGTGGTCCAGCCAGCCCATTCGAGAATCAGTAGAAGCTGCTCTGGGGTCCTGTAATGGCTCTCATGTAATTTTTCTAACAAATTCAACATTTAAGTTAGAATTAATGTCAAGAGCTTTCCACAGTTCATAAACTTAGATCTGCCCAGATTGTAGTAGATAGATAATACAAAAAATTATGAAGCAGACAACCAACATGCCACTTGTACGTGTACAGTTTGAGTTGGTAATCCCTGAATTAATCTTCAACAGTTTAATAAACACTTGACAAAAAAATTATGAAGGTAGCTTGAATCACGTTTTCCAAATTAGGTGCGTTTAATTGTTACATATAACTTTTTGGGATGTCCCATTTAGGCCTTGTTACCACTATGGCATCACTATGGCCTATCCTAAGTGATATAGTACCTTTTTGAGAAACAAAATGACACATAGGTACATATTTGCATAACATTACATCGCATAGGCCAATACGTGTGTATAAAATCATAATATACGTAATCAAATGATATCAATTACAAGACCAGAATACAACACTCTACATAATATCAAAAGTTTATCAAAAATAGAGAAGAAGATGGCCTAAGTAGAGACAGAAAATGACAGTGAAACTTTCGCCGTAACCCGCACTGACGAGGGTTTTGGTAAGCGTTTTTGATTAAACGACTTTTCTTTTACCATAAGCTTAGTATTAACCGGATTCTGCTTTTATATTCATTAATGATTTGAAGAAAAACTTTTTGAAAAATTTGTCAAATTTTGCTAACTATAAGAAATAAGGATAATATCATCATAAGTAAAAATGAGACGACATTTGTTGACAATTTGTTTAGATTCAGCGATATTTATGTTTATGTGAAAAAAATATTTGTTTTTGCTGAATAGTAAAGACAGTAATAAGGTATATAACTTCAATATTAATTACAAAGAAATTTAAGTGATAAAGTTTAAAAAAACTGACATATTAAAACAATTTATTTAATATATTTTTTTATGTGAAAAGTTGCTCAACGAGCAGACGGTTCACCTGATGGTAAGTGAATACCGCCGCCCATGGATATCTGCTACACCCGAGGGTTCCAGATGTGTTGACAACCTTTTGAAAATTGGGCTCCGGCAACCTCACTCACCAGACGAAACGCGAAAGTATTTGTCATACTTCTACTTTACGCTGGTCTTCTGTGAGGTCGTGGTACTTACCCGGACAGGCCTGCCCATTCGTACAACAGCCGAGGCTGCTGCGTGGCCCTACCACCGTAAAATTTTATAACCAGTAGTGTTAGACAAAAGTTAAAATAAAATAATCAGACCTTGTTTTTACCTACAAGATTATACTCGAAATGTGAGGCATTTTAGATAAATTAACATAAAACTTTGGAGTTTTTGTGGGATTCAAACCTGCATATTCTGGGTTACACACCCAGACGCTTCACCAACTTACCTAAACGGCCAATGCCCTCATGGCGCGAAAATCTTGACACGTTCTTTATTGCATTTTTAGCCATGCTTGATGCCATCTAGTGTGTATAGTTTACCTTGCCAATATCATTTAAAACAATGAACCTTTGTAATGAAAGATGTCGCTATTAAAATTAGTCGCTAACCTCTTGTTCACGTTATAAAATAAAATAACTTAGTTTTATTATTCCTACTTTATTATATTATAACGAATCGAAATAATTGGCGTTTTGTAAAAAAGTTAATGGAGGTCAATTATTATATTAAGGGTCCATGGGTGATGTTTCAATAGAAATTAGGTACTAGGGGCACTATATATACTTTATTTTGGAGTAAAAATAAAAAAGGAGTCTCTATAGGCAGAGAGTGATTGAGGAGGCAATAAAGTATATATATGGTAGGGCCACGCACCAGCGGTCTGGATGTAGCACGAATAGGCAGAATCGACGGGGAAGTGGCACGACCTCATACAGGACCGGCGAGAAGTGGAACAATATTTCTGCGTTTCGTTTGGTGAGTGCGGTAACCGGGGCCCACTGTAGTTAAAAGTTGCAACGTATCAGCTGTAACCCTATGGGTGTTGAAATGTCCATGGGCGGTGGTTAACACTTAACATCAAGTGAACCGCTAGACCGCTTGCCAAACTCTTAGACATAAAAAGAAAAAAATAACGACTCACTAACGACTAGTCTAAAGCCGGGTAATACAGGATTATTCACGTTATGTAAAGTCACTTTAAAAATCGTGATGTAACCGTTTGCAATCGATATGTATGAGCGATAAAACGCAGGCTTCTAGCCACCACTTTACTCAGCGGATATCTTTCGTTGAGACATCAATGGTAATGAGGCCGCAGCGTGTGTTTCACGCCTATGTCGCCATCCCATCGGTGGTCTCATGCGTTTTTCCCTGATGATCATAAGGATCTTGGCAAAATGATTCGAGGCTATTGTTAATTTTGTTTGGAGCTTATTCAATTTTGAGCCGTGAGATGCATATTATATAATTGCATACACGGTACAAAGTACCTTCTGGTTTATTAAGTCAATTTTTTTGAAGATAGTTAGGATTTTTTATTTATACTTTCCGATTTGCTCACTAGATTTCTACAGAATATATAAAAAAGTTTACAAAACTTCACATAAATGAGCTTCCAGGATACCTTAAAGAGTTTACAAAACAATTTCCTGTTCCATAATACCGTTTAAAGTTAGGCGCTGTTCGAAAACAACTCGTCAGGTTTCTATTAGAAGTGTTGTAATAAAGTTATGATTGGAAAATTAAAGCCGCGCTAGAAATTGATGAAGAGTGGAAAACATTGCAATATATATTTCCGTGGTGTCACGTAACAATGGCTGGGTTTTAATTAGGTATGTTGTAAATGAAAAAAGAGAAGTATTTTTTCTTGAAAATGTTTATACTTAATGGAATGAACGTCTTCATGGTGCTCCGTTATTTACAAAATTTGTCCTTTTTGCTGGATACGACACATTGAGAGTGATGTAGATGAATAACTTTTGACCGTTCATTGCGTTTGTTTTAGAAATGTCTCGGTGAGGATGGTCGGGCAGTGAGCGGGCGAAATGGACGACCCAGAGAGGATTGCACGCGACGCAGCTGCCTGTATGCTGCGGAATAACGCCTCAAAACCACCGTCTGGTAAAATCTCTACGACGGCTCAGTTGGCATAGTAGCTACGCTATGCGTTTCGATGCTGTGGAACGTGGGTTAAATTCCCACACACTAACTATACCAAGGCTTCCCAATATTCAGGTCCACATGCATGTACTAACACACGTAAAACGAATGAAAGCAAGTGTTAGACATTGTGTAATATAGATACGTACTGATGCTTACTATCTTGCACACGTAGGTACAATGACAGGAGGGAAGCTACGAAGCATGGCACAAAGAGGAGACCTAAAATAAAATGTTGTTCCATCTATTTTATCTCATTCTCACGCCGGTTAATCTTATGTATAATAATACAAAAACATGTTTATCTCTTTATCGTGACGCATTTTCGCTTCATCAAGTCAATTCTAAACGAATCTAGAAAGGGTTCACTTCAACGAGAATATTGTAATATCTTAATATTAAATGGTTCAATCGTTTCAGGGTTATACTGCGAAGGTACATTCGATACTTGGCTGTGTTGGCCCCCCACTGCAGCGAACAGCACTGCGTACGAGCACTGCCCCGAGTTTGTTCACGGCTTCAGTCCTGAACGTAAATTACATTATAAAGTTAATTGAATTTCATGTCCGCCATAGATGATTTTTGAATTGGCTCTACCTTTCAACAGTGTTCGCGCATAAAGAATGTACAGAAAATGGGACATGGTTTCAGCATCCCCTCACAGGATTACCCTGGTCCAATTACACAACGTGCGTAAAGCCAGAAGATGTAAGTAGCCAGTGCAATGATTGATTCATCTAACATCCACCAATATTTAATGAAATCAAAACATTATATTCTTTAGGACGTCAGTGAAATCATCGCAGTATACGAGATGGGCTACAGCGTGTCCCTCGTGGCTTTAGTGCTCTCCCTAGGAATACTCTTCTACTTCAAGTGAGTCGCAAATCTTTAAAATTCATTTCGGGATAAAATCCGACGATGAACAACTATGCGACCCCAGATAGATGCTCGTTTTGTTTACAGAAGTCTACGTTGTGCACGCATAACGGTGCACATGAACCTGTTCGCGTCGTTCGCCGCTAACAACGCGCTGTGGCTCACGTGGTACGGACTTGTGATGCGCTCGCCGGATACCCTCAGCGAATCACCGGTGTGGTGTCGCATTCTCAACACGGTTCTCCAGTATGTGCTGCTCACTAACTACACGTGGATGCTGTGCGAGGGGCTGTACCTTCATACGGTGCTCGTCAGTACCTTCATCTCGGAACGTCGGTTGGTGCGCGCTCTGATGGCGGCCGGGTGGCTGCTGCCCGCACCGCCGGCGATAATATACGCCGCACGGCGGGCAGCGGCCGACGAACAGCTGTGCTGGCTGGACGAAGGCCCACCGCGGCTCGAGCTGGCCGTGCTGGTGTGCGTCGCCGTAGTGCTCAACCTCGGCTTCCTGTGCAACATCGTCCGCGTGCTGTGCACCAAGCTACGCGCAGGGGGCGCTGCAGGTGGGGCGGCGCGCCCTTCCGCCACCGCCCTGCACGCGTTGCGCGCCACCTGCCTCCTGGCGCCATTGCTCGGATTGCAGTACATACTGACGCCCTTCCGGCCCGATAGAACGGCCAGTTGGTGGCTCGTCTACGAATACGTGTCGGCGCTCACTACCTCGCTGCAGGGCCTGTGCGTTGCCGTGCTCTACTGTTTTTGCAACGGCGAGGTTCTCGCGCAGCTGCGGAGGCGTTGGCGCGTACTGACCTTTCGCCCCCGTGCCAACTCGACAACTAACACCACCGTGTCAGTAAGTAGACTGTTGGAGCATTGATAACATGATGTGGTGTGTGGCTCTAAGATGGGCGACTGTGTTCCAGTTTGTGCGGTCCGCTGCAGCCGGTGCGGGCGAGGATAAAGTGTGACTAGCGGTGGGCGGTACGGGGGCCGCGGGGGCCGCGGGGGGAGCGGAGGGCGAGGGGTACGATAAGGACGAGCGCAGGCGCAGCGACGGCCGCCACATACGCTTCGAGTGCGTAGAGAGCGACGAAGACGCGCCAGCGCACACGCGCCTTCTCTGAACCTCCTGCTCACTTCCTCTGGTGCCCTACCCCCTCCCCCCTCCGCCCCACCAAGCAGGCCCCAAGCCAGCCGCCCCGACGTTTCACACCACGCTATGAAACCGAGTGTTGTGTTTGAGATTAACAATGATTGCTGATGGTTTGAGCTTCACGTGTTACGATGAGAAAGCACAAGGCACTTATCAGATATGGACGATTTTCGAATCGAAGAAAAGAGCTTTAAATTATAGCTACAACTTTTTGCTTTCACATATAAGCATAAAGATAAGGCAGCGGTATGTTAAATGTTACGTAGTGCATTTTATTTAAGCAAATGTTTATCAGCATAGCAATTTTATAAGCTTGTTAATAAAAAAATCTGCAAAACCTGTTTGTGTTATCAAATTATTATAAATCATGTTTTTCTATTGTTTGTTGTCTTATATTTGTAAATATATTTGTACATAACTATGTTAGACGCAAATATAAGGATATCCTAAGAAACTGACTTTATTTTCCTCCCCTTTACCATGCAAATAACACAATCACCGGGTTCTGGGGAAACTCCTTAACTATCAAAGCTACACATCTCTGGAACTCCTTACCCGATATCATAAGAAATGCAACAAATAAGGCCTCTTTCAATGACTGATTAGTGAACATTTGTTGAAGACAACCATTTATTAGCTCGTGCCTAAGATATAATTAATATTTATGTTTTTTTATTCTTTTTTTACGCATGTAATTATATGTATATGTATACATATATTTTATTTATAAAATGTTAGTTTTTATATATTCCTTAACTTTATAATTATGCATATATCATATTTTATTTTCTTTTAAATTAATACATTTTAATTTTTATCATCCCTTGCTGCACCTATCATAAGCTTTCACTAAATCTTGAGTTGACAGGTAGAGAATGCCTTTGGGCATTAAGTCCGCTCTTTCTTACCTTTTTTCCTTAAGGCTAGCAATAAAGCATAAATAAATGAAAATACAAATAAATCCGAGATCCGTGATATCTCAGTGTCCGGGCACTCGCCTTTAATTAAATATACTCCAGCAACCTGAGTTCGATCCCCGGTGATGGCACCAATGAAATTGTTAATTTTAAGTGCCGAATTATCACATGCTCAGCGGTGAAGGAAAACATCGTGAGGAAATCTGCATATTTTCGAAATAATAACAAAAAAATATATATTTCGAAGATATGTGAAGTCCACCACGGGGGAATCCGCAACGGGGCCGCGTGGTGGACTATGCGCGAACGACCTCTGTACAGAGGAGGCCTTTCTCAGCAATGGGACATATATAAGCTGATTCTTTACTTTTTACTTTTATGAATAAATCACAATATAATGATAATGGTAAACAAGCCCGACTTAAAACACTCGAGACATGCCATGACATCGCATTGGCAGTACGAAGTTTCAGCAAAGAAGCGATTTTTGTAATAGGGGAAGTACGCAACCTTTTTGGATTCAGTATTTTCGACTGGAGCAATACTATTTTTATTGGTAAAAAAGATTTCAGACTTCAAAAGATTTTCTATGTGCAAATACTTCAAAGAAAAAAATTTACAAAAGAATGTTACACAACTTTTCAAATATAAATTAGGTTTTATTAACATAAAATTACGATCAGTTTATCATAGAATGTGCTGTGATTAAAGATGCAAATGCAAAGTTCATTTGTTCTTTGTTGTAGTTAAAACGCAAATAAAATTCTTGCACTAATAAAAACGTGAGATCACACAATATTTTTCTAGTTTGGCTTAAAGCAAGTCTGCCCTCGACATATTTATAAATATGATTCATAATAGATACAGAGTGCGATAATTACTTGGCATTTTAGAGCTTATTTGTATTTTTACGATGCCTTTTACACTGAGGCCGACAAATACGAAACTTTTTAAATTTCATCCCCGAAGCTTGCAACGACTCACATTCCTGCCATCAGATTAAGACTGCCTTATAAATTATAATTTCATAATAGTTATATATCAGCCATAGCAACAAACAGGTAATATCGGGGATTTATACAGGTTTCGATAAATTAGTACGGATTATAAAAATATTCAACGATTACCGGGAGCTGAAATAAACGCAGAAAATCAGACAATCAAACAAAAGTTTCTCATACACAATAAGAGTTCTATTAAAAATATTATATTTCATTGCAGACGCAGACCCAACGACAATGGCGTCTTACGGGTCGACCGTCGCTGAGAGCAAGGGCTCATTATTGTATTGTTCGAAGATTTGTTTGCCAAACTCTTTCATTGGGAAATGATTTTTGCTTGTTTACATATTTAAAGTTGTGAGGAGAAAAGGCAATTCATAGTGTGGGCCTATTGTGGTATAAACATTTTTTTATATTAGCTTAATAATATTTTGAATACGAGCATAACTATGGTCTTTCACAAATTGTTTTGTATGTCATCCAAGAGCTGGACTTCAATCAAAACTGGCTATTTGTTCGATTTCAATTGCGATTTCAACTGTATTATATTTATTTGAACTATAGATTTATCGTTCTCGGTGTACTCTACAGCACCTTAGCAAATTAATTATCGTTAATGGTCCTCAACTTTATGATCGTACGAAATAGACTTCAACATCATCATCATTATCATTTCAGCCTGTAAAAGTCCACTGCTGAACATACTACTCCCAAAGACTGCCGCGAAGCACAAATCCGAGCCACATCCACCCAATGACGATAGAATTCTCGCACATGTGCACAGGTCGTCACTCCATCTAGTGGCCGTTCGTCTTAGACTGCGATGGTTAATACGATGCTGCCATTCAAGAGTATTCTTAAAGTCTTTAAACAAATAAAATGCGCGCTATAAAATTATTCTTTGATCTAAAATAATAACTTAATACATCTTATGATTAGCACGAAGCTTGCAAGCTTTTCAACTTCACATTGTTATAACTATAACTATACTTTATAAATATAAAATATTAGCGTATTTAGACCGCCACGCTGTTAGAAATACCCCTTCAAGGTTTAAATTTCCTTTACGAACTGTGTATATATTAATATACACAGTTCGTAAAGGTGACGGTTGCCACTAGATTTCATCAGAGTTATTAAATTCACATACCTCTGGGGAGATAGGAAGCGTTGCCTTATTGGCCTGCTCTATTGATGTGCACTCGGAAGCCTAATATGGCTCATCAAAAAGCTCTCATGCCGCTCGATATTAAAATGCAACGGAGCACCGTATCACGGCGGCTTACGATGATGGGTGACTTAATCGTTTCTTGTAGGAGGAACAAATATTTATTATGTAAATAATAGATAGTTCCATCGGACATTAACATTTCGTCCAGAATTTGTGTATTTAAAACCCAATTAAAACGTTTTTCCGCTCATTACTTCTCGATTCGGATATAACATATTCAAAAGAAAACTTATTTGCCGAACTTGTCGACGGCTACAATTTAACATATATCGTAAAGGTTTTTTAACGTAACATTTAAACTTAAAGCTTCCACTGGCCTAAACAACAATATGATTTGGAGGTAACTTTAGATAATTTTAGCTATGTTGCACGCTTAAGGAAAAGCGGTAAAGGAAAAGAGTGCACATAGACGGCTTTGGTAGAAAAGTTCTTAGTGTATTAGTACTTTTGGTAGAACATATATTTTTGCAATTGATTCAAGAATAAATTCTCTGCACGTCTCGTATTTCCCGAAGCACTCGTACGTCTATATCTAGTAAACGTCGGGGCTATTAGGTGAAGGCGGTTTTAATAAGGCGTACGAGGAGCGAACGGTGCTAGCGATAGCTCTCGGCGCCAAATTGAGTTATATACTCGCCTCGAGATCCTACCTTTATTAAAAGCCCCCGTGTGGCGCTTACACGGAGTAAACAGATTCCCATTTGTTCGACATACGTAATTTTAATCCTTAAGCAATTAACTGTGATATGGCTAATAATGTTTTAAACACCGAAACGAGATATGTATATACGAGTATAAATGCTAAGTTTTTTTTAGTGATGTCGAACCACAGCCATTCTGTGAGTTTAAACCTAGATCGCTGGTTAACTGTACATTTGGGACGTAAGAAAAAAAGGTTTTTGTTATGTTCCATTAACATTTTAGAACGTAACGATGAATTGCGAGCACGCGGTTTCGACAGATTGCAATATTCCAAAAAAAGTCTTTCCTAGTCCATTGTTTTTATTGAATTTGGAACATAAAAGCTGTAATTAGTCTGTAGCTGTATAATGCTGTCTGCTTCCTTTATGGACTTCTTTTAATGAAGTCAAAATAACAATACTAAGACTATGAAGAGGACCCTATTTACTAATTGTTAAAAGAAAGCTATAACAATCACAAGAAATGTTGAAACTTTTAGCAACAAATCAACTTTATTTATCAAAATTAATATTCATTGTATAGTTATTTCGAATGAAAGACGAAAAGGAAGTGAAATTTGTGGTTAAAAAGGGCTTAAAATGAATCTTGCTACAAGTAACAGCTGTGGCTAATTAGAAGCTTTGACGAATTCTTATTAAGAGGAGTAGCGATGGCGACCACTGAGCCAGCCAACGCCTGCTGTAGATCGGGGGAATCGAGACACGGCCTCGAATTCGGAAACGACTCGTAAAAAATTCACAATTTTTATTTAGGACACTGTTTATTCCTCCAGTCTTTAAATAAGTTTAATTCTCTCCGCCATTGGCTGGCGCGCGTCCAAAGTCTAAAATAATAAGAGTAGTCTAAAGTATTAGAACATTTTAAATTGCATAAAGTCGCTAGTGAAATACTTTCCGCCGTTCCGGTATTTCTAATGTTATTTACTGACTTCAAATATTTGTTGAGCAGTTTATATTAGTAG